CGGACGTGCTTCTCGGCCCCCCGCTCGTCGGGGGAGGGGAGGGAGTTTGAACGACTTCGCCAGTCTGATGGAGAGGGAAGCATGATGGTGGGCGGCGTGGTGCCTCTCTGCCCCCGTCGCGGGGGCAAAGCATTGTAGCGCCTCGCACGCTGGTGTAACAATAAAGAGATGGGGGGGAGACAATAAAGAGATGGGGGGGAGACCCACCCTCGCACCCCTTTTACTGCTGGCTCGTTTGTGCCCCTTGGAGAGCTGCGTGCTGGGGCTTTGGTGCCGGAGTGGGCACCTGTGGCCCTCCAGCGGTCTTGGCCTACAACTCGTCTCCGTAATGGTCGGCATAGCCAAGAGTGAAAATAACGAACCACGAAGCCCTGCCTTGTGAGAGGTCAGACGACCTTGGTTCATCTAGCCTGGTATGGCCGCCTTCAATTCCAGGCTCGGTTCTTTCCAGAATAAAGCTGGGGCCTGCATTTAAAGCAGGAGCTCTGCCTCTTTGCTGCACCCCCCTCCCCAACACAGCAGCCCGGTGGTCACCTGTCCAAGTCTTAACCAGGCCTGACCCTATTTCGCTTTCTCAACCAGATGTCATCAGGTGGGTGATGGGGCCCCAAACGTAGTTGGAGGGGAGTGCCCATCCCTGCCATAGCAGTTCAGTACAGTATATGGTGACATGTGGGGTCTCTTTACTCGAATCGGGGCAGTCCGGCGAAAAGCCATGAAATCGTCTATTATTGTAGTCTCTTGTCCTGGAAGATAAATGTCTGAACCTGCAGCTGGCCTGTGCCATGGACCTGTAGTGAAATGAACACTAGTCGTTCCACACTTGCCAGAGATAGGGACCATATTCCGTGTCCCTAAGTGTAGGGACCATGATGGGCATCCAGAGCTAAAGGTTCTTCTTGTCTCAGTTCCCCTGCATTGCTATGTTCAGGCCCACACTTCTCCAGTGGAACTTTTCTGCCTAGGATTCCTTGAGCTTCCTTGGGCAAAGTCTTCTGGACTTGTGGGAAGTGATGTCAGGAGGCTAACGGGCAGGAGTCTGCATGGAGCTGAGTGGTCTTGACTGGGCGAGTCAGTCCTCCATAAGGGTTGGGCTTCTTGAGCTGCGTGGACCTTTCTCTTTGCCATCAGCTTTGTGACGTTTCTTGCCTCCCACCTGCAGCTCCTGCGGCAACGTATGAGCTGTGCGATGAAAGTGTTCGGATGTCTCCCTGTGTCTTCCTTGCAATGAGGAGGCTGCTCTGTGGATGCAAAGAGTGAGGTTCTTTTTCCCTGTGAGTGTTGCCACAGTCCAGCCAGCGGTTTTTTACTGTGTGTGGGAGAGTTTAGGAAGGGTGGGGTTTAGATGGGTGCCAGGCATCTTCCATTGCTCCCCCTACCCTGGGGAGGCTCTGGATTTCCACCATTACATCGCTGTGTTGGTCCAACACCCCCAAACGTATGTGGAGCAGAAGTCCAGCTAGGTGGAGCCTGAGTATCCTCTCTCCATCTGCTTTGCCTGAAGGCAAAATTGGGACCTGTCCCAACCAGCTTCTTTGGCAGCAGCATTTTGTATAGTGAAAGCAGCTGGGACATCTGGGGGCCTGAAATAACTGGTTTCTCTGCATCAGGCTGGAGGGAGGAGCAGCAGCGGTGGAAGAACCTGGGCCTCCCCTTGTCAGAGGCTCCCTGTCGGACCCAGAGCCTCTGAAAGGGCCACTGGAGTAGGATAGGCAGAAGATTCTTACAGATGCTTGTGTTCGATCCCTGGAAGCTTTTGATGTGAAGTCCTTTTGTTTCCCCAAAATGTATTAGTCATTAGAGAAGGTGAATGGGTAGATGGTGACAGTGAACCCCTTAACAAAAGCAGGCACGAAACACAAAAGCACAACCTGTTCTGTCTCCGTGGTGGGACGGAGGAGAACGCCTGAGGCAGTCAGTCGGCTGCTGGGACCTCAGAAACTCATGGGGAGGGGGGGAAGGAGGGGAAGGGAGGCAGCACCTTTCTGCTCCCCTTGCCAGCTGCTGCATCACGCCCAAAGAAGTCTTTCTATCCAGGGCAGGAGGGCAGGTTCAGTAGGTTTAGGGAACTAGAGAAGACATGCGTGCTCATCCTTCAGTGAGTGTAGCTTCAAGTAATAACATGCCCAGCCAGAAGAAGGAGAGGCTGATATAGGTGATCTCAAAAACAAAACTTTCTAAGCTCTAGCAAGAAATCAGCTGCTGAATAATAAGCTGTCCTCCACTTCACAGCAGTGCGATGCTGCAATGAAACACCAGCACAGCCTGTAGCCGAACAGGTTGTGGGTGTCCCCGGTCCCAGCAGCAACCACCCTGCCCTAGCTCCTAGAATCCGTTCAATAGTTGAGGAGACTTGTTGTAGCTGGAAGATCATGCTGAGAGCCATCTTGACCACTTCAGAGAGCTTTGGAGTTCACCTTCCCAGATTGCCTACAGGAAGGTGAAGGCATGATGTCCCCCCCCCCATTTCATCTAATCCAAATATGGTTCCTGGGCACTAGCAGTTGCATTCATTTTGGCAGGTATGTGTGTCCCTTATTTACTTCTCTTTTGACCCTTTGGTTGGGCTAGTCTTGTGTCTCAGGTTTTGAATGTGCAGCAAGGTATATGGCTGATCCTGTTGGTGCCCCAGATCAGGAAACTAATGGCTTGGATCATCTGTTGGGAATATCTCTGGCACAGTCGTCACCTCTGCCCCTTCTCATGCCAGCACCCACCCCACCCTCACTGCTGTACTGCAGCAAGAGGGAAGGGAAACTGACCATCTCAGTAACAAGGTTTGGAATCCATGTTCTCCACTTAGCCATTCAGAAGATGTTGCTCTTTTGATGGCAGGAAGCCTTTGTCTCAGGGTAGTTTGTAGAAAGCAGGTGGAGATGGGCACAAACTGTCGGTTCGTCCTTCAGATGAACAGCTGTTTGGTGGTTCCAAGCCACCAATGGGCACCCACTTGGAGGCAGTGCACAGAGGAGGCAGGGCAGGGAAGCCAGGGCGCTGCCTCTCAGTGGCTGCCTGCTGGAGCCCGCAAGGCTGAGAAGTGCCAAACAGCTGTTCATTTGAAGGAACCACCAAACCCATACCCATCTCTAGTAGCTGATTCAGGCATTTCCATAGGACTTATTCCAGGGAGAGAAAGTTGACTTGTGTGTACTTTCTGTGTGCTTCTTGTGGCATTTTTCCTGCCTCCTGCAGGGTAGCTGTCCTCGGGTGTTCTGTCAATCCGCAACCTGAAACCCCTGGACGCACTGCTCTTGGGTGGTTGGTAGCTGGCTGTGTATCAAGAAAGCCTATGAGACAAAAGGACTCTCTTTGGCATAACAGAGGTTCCTGGGGTGCCTGTCGTGCCTCCCGAGGTGTCTCATTGATTGCCAAGCCAATGATGGCAAGCTTGAGCAGGAGTTAACTTGGCCAAGAAGTTGTTCCCTTGTTTGCTATTGGTTCTAAGAGGATGTGATGGAGTCCTGTTACGCTTCAATATGTCCCCTTATGGTGGGTGAAGGCACCCTTTGAAGGCTTGAAACAGACCATGAGGCTGACCATAGTAACAAGTGGTGCTAAAGGACGGGGCTACTCTGAAAACAAAAGTCTGTGTTTTCTTCCCTTAATATTTTAGTTCCTTTTCTGAACTACAGTCACACAAAATGAGAAGCAACCCACTCGATCATGGCAAAGGTTCTTCTCGTCCTGTTCCCATAGAGGCTAACCAGATGATTCTGGGAAGTCCACCAGCAAGAAATGAGGGCAGCCATCCTTTCCTATAGTTTTTTCTATTCATTTGGTCCTCCACTGATCTTAGAGACTGATTATAATTATCATGATTATTAACCATTAATAGTATTTATGTATGAAATGCATAATTAAACTATATAGTTCACCACCACAGATTATGGCCACCAACTTGGGTGGCCATATGTATTCCCCAAAATGTATTAGTCATTAGAGAAGAACCCTAGAAGTGGACTTGACCAATTCATGGAGGATGATGACTATGTATTTCCAGTCTACACATACTGGTTGCTAAGGAGCGCGGTTAGGAGGGTGTTCTTGTACCCATGGTTTGACTGTGGACTTTCCATTTGAATATCTAGCTGGCCCTGGTGCTGGACAGGATTCTGGAGTAGTGTGTGGCCTGACCCAATAGCAGGGCTCTTCTGATTCTCCATGAATATGTCTGAAACAGATAGACCTCTTCTCCCTACTATCTAGCAAGTCCATATTATGGGAATTCTGGCCACACCATTAATGAGGAAACTTAAAAAACATCAGTGATGCAGTGTGTGTGTGTGTGTCTTAGAAAGGTTTGAATTAGAAAAATGTCTGGAAAATGTGCACTCTGCTATTTTAATAACTAACATGGTGAGTTTCTTACCTGTATTTGGAAATTTAATCTAAATGTTAATAGAACATGCATAGACGTATGGATATGCATAACAAGAGTCTTTCCAGTTGCCAAAAGATCATTAAATGATATGTTTGGTGAAGATAGAGGGCAATCCATAAGTGCATTTGTAAAGTTTGTGAATCTCCTGTCATGACAGCACCTTATAGAGGCAGTTTTCTAGAAGATCCATTATATTTCATCTTTGTGGGTAGTGTCTGCACTGAGAGAGATCAGAGGTATTCTCACTTTAATGGTGTACAGTGTTGCTCTCTCCAAATCAGCACCTAAAAAGAAACTCTCTCTAGGGTGGTCTTGTTAGATAACTGGGATGATGCTTGAAGCTTTTT